GACAATGCCGTAGAGGGTTGCTATGAGCCAGAAGGTACTCAATGGTGCTTACCAATAACAACATCCTGAGATCCTTGGAGTCCTGGTTGGTGCTATAGGATAAGCGCTGGACTGCTAATTGCAAGTTCAAACTCACCAAGCACTCTTCAGAAACCCTCTATAGGATCGCTATGATTCAGAACCGACTAGACAGCACTTAACATCAACAATCTTGAGATCCTTAACATACTTGAAATATGTGTGCCTTTTAACATGCCAAATCTTCCCAGTATTGAATGATACAAACGTTTTCTCATTAGTATTGATTTGTCTTCTACTGGAGAGGTAGAAGAAAGATGGAAACTTTTCCATATGCTCTTGGGAATATTGTGAAATATTGGAATGAAAGACAAGTGGAGGCTCTATCTACATGCCCCAACCATTGGTCTCTAACCCAGCCCAGTATCAGCATGGGTTATGGCTGTCTCCTTCTGGGTATGTCAGGATAGTACTGTTTCTGCATTTATGTGTCTGCCCTCCTCTATCAATAATGATTCTTTTGTGTATCTTCCTAAAACCTTTTTGTTGTTGTTAAGTGCCATGGAATTGGTTCTAACTCATAGCAACCCTGCATAGGTTTTCCAGGGAGCAGCTGGTGGGTTTGAACTGCCAACCTTGTGTTACGCAGTCCAGTGCTTATCGTACAGCATCACACCACAACTGCATATAGCAATATTGTTGTTGTTACGTGCCATAGAGTCGGTTCTGACCCATAGCGACCCTGTATAGGGTTTCCAAGGAGCAGCTGGTAAGCTTGAACCACCAACCTTGCAGTTCAAATGGCTTTGTATTCTGGTGCATTAACCCACAGCGCCACACCAGAACTCCATATAGCAGCATAAAATCCCCTAAATTAGACTATTATGAACTCTCATTATTAAATCCCAGAGAGAAATTAAGGTGTCCCACTTTTATGATCTCCATCTGAATTAAAATTAAAGGCTAATGAAGTCCAAATGCTTGTTTTCCTTGGTTTCTTTACTGCTCTCATTTTTCTGTTTTGCTCTCAGCCAGAAGACATTATTCTTATTTTATTCTACGTTCGCATAATATACAACCATTTTAAAATGAATAATTCAATAGCATTTGGTACAAACACAATGTTACACAAACACCACATCTATTTAGTTCCAAAATATTTCATTATGTCAAAAGGAAACCCTATAACCATTAAGCATATAGTCTCCTTCCCAGCCCCCAGCCCCCTGCTCCCAGCTCCAATCCTAGTCCCTGGCAACCAACAATCTTCATTTTATCTCTATGGATTTTCCTATTCTAGATATTTCATATAAATGGATGCATACAAAATATTAAATTTGTATCTGGCTTCTTTCACTTAGCATAATGTTTCTAAGGTTCATCCCTGTTGTACATACTCCTTTTACCCCCAACTTTTCATTGTGAGTTGAGTAAAGGTAAAATGTTCCTTTAAATGCTTGAGTCAGGGAACCTCAACAGCTTCAGCCTGGTTTGTCTTCATTGGCATCGATTTAGTTTTATAGCATATTCAAAGCTGAATTTCTCCAAGTTTAAGGTAGTTACAGTGCCTGGGTTGTTACATACAACTTATAGTTAGGAATCAAGCCCCATAAAGTCTATTAAATAAAAAATTAGTTTTGTGTACATTAAAAGAGGGAATAGAAGCAAATACTGTTGAATGATGATGCATGGAGAGGGATTGTAATCATTGCAATGAAATTAAATATGATAGGATGAGTGTAAAATCGATGTTCTCCCATGTAAATGATCACTCAGTTCACAATAAAAGTTAAAAAAAAAAAAAGTTTGTGGTACATACAGTGGTTCATAATAACAAATGGGAGCTGTTTTGCCACTTTCATGAAAACATTAATATCAGTAAGTAGGTTGAAGATGTTTCAGTGTATCTGGAAGTGTTTCTTTAATTTTTTTAAGTCTAGAATGGTACAGTATATACTAAGACAAGCATGTGAATAGTGGTATTAGATATAAACCATATCTAACTTCTGATTTACACACAAATTTGACTTAAAGACAGACTTAGGAACAGAGGAACTCCTTCGTAATGTGGATATTGCCATACTTTTTTAGTAGTGTCTCTATAAAAGATGGGTCTAACATTGGCCACTTTCAGCCAAGATCCATCGGACATCCGCAATGATATCTCTCGTTCCACAGCCTCTTTCTGAATCCAGCTTGAACCTCTGGAAGTTCTCTGTCAATGTATGATTGTAGGTGTTTCTGTATTACCTTGAGCAAAACTTTACTCACTTGAGATATCAAAGAGATTGTCCGATGATTTCGCATTCTGTTGGGTCACCTCTCTTTGGAATGGGCACAAATATGGATCTCTTCCTATCAGTCGGCCAAATAGTTGTCTTCCAAATTTCTTCGCAGAGATGAGTGAGTGCCTCTTGTGCCTCCTCACTTTCTTGAAAGATTTCGATTTTTATTCCATCAATTCCTGGTGCCTTGTTCTTTGCCAATTCTTTCAATGCACTTTGGACTTCCTCCCTGAGTATCATTCATTAGCTTTTGTTCATATGGTACCACTTAAAATGGTTGAACATTAACCATTTCCTTTTGGTACAATGACTGTGTATTCCTTCCATCTTTTCTTGATGCCCTCTGCATCATTCAATAATATGCCCAGAGAATCCTTCAATAATGAAAAACGAGGCTTGAATTTTTTCTTCAGTTCTCCCAGCTTGAGAAATGCTGACCGTGTTCTTCCCTTTTGGTTTTCCAATTTTAAATCTTTGCATATTTTATTATAGTATTTGGTTTTATCTTCTTGAGCTGATCTTTGAAATTTTCTCTTCAGCACTTGGACCTCTTCAGTTCTTCCATTTGCTTTAGCTTCTACACGCTGGAGAGCAAGTATCAGAGTCTCCTCTGACATCCATTTTGACCTTTTCCTCCTTTCTTGTCTTCTTAATGACTTTTCACTCTCTTCATGTATGATGTTCTTCTCATCTCACAACTCTTCTGGTCTTCGGTTCCACCAATAGGTGCCTCAAATGCCTGCCTATCTTGAGGCAGTCTTCCCAGGCCTAAGAACTCTTCCTGGAAAGGCCCCCAAAGCTTGCAAGTACTAAAACTTCCCACACAATTTCTTTTTTTGTGATACTTTGAGTGTCTACACATGTGGCTGTGAGGAACACTCTTCCGTTACTGGTTCTGAGTAATTAAGAAATAGTTTTGCAGGTGACAGATATACTTGTATTAAAGGTAAAGACAGATTGTAGACCATGACTTTGACCTAAGCACAGAGATAAAGCCTGCCTCACTGAGCTTATGTCCCACCTGGGGAGACACCTTATGAAAGCAGAGTAAACCAGGAGGCCTGGCTCTGTGACTTCTGCCATGACCTTGCCCATTCTCTAGTCATTGCTGTACAAGTGAGGGATGGAGAAAAGGACGACACTTACCCTCCCCAAAGAAAAAAGGAACACATTATGAGCAAAAAATCTAATGTTTCCCTAAAATGGTTAGTCATCCCAGGACCATCTATTCTGTAATTGCCTATCACATTAAAAAAAAATGCTATCTTTATCATATATCAAGTTGTGAGTCACAGTAGAGCCCTCAGATTCCCTAAGTTCATTTCTAGGTCTTTATTACTGCTGTATAACTTGGATTTTGTTTTCTCTCATTTGTATTTCTCCATGGCCTGAAACTCATTTATGTTGCTGTAATGTATCTCTCAGAAACTACATTAGTAGTTTTAGTAAAATACTTAAAATGTTCACAGTGCCTTATCATCTTGATGTACTAAGCCATTTTTAGATGTGTCAGTGATAAGTTTTTTTTCACTGTGAATATGTTATTTGTTTTGTATTTTCAATGCCTAACATATTTCTTGATACATTGTAGGCAGCCAATTTTCTGTGAGCCTAACTTGTATATTATTTATTTAATGCCACAAAGAAATAGAAATTTCATTTGACAAAAGGAACATTTATTTTTCCTTGGAATTCATCTTAAAGATTCCAATAAGCCTAAAACTTTTTTCTCTAATATTCCACTATTTGCATTAATTTAGGTCTGCCTTCTTTCAACAGTCATTTTAGCCTTGGTTACTTGACCGGGCCGTCATCCAGCTCCTATCATAAGTGTGTTTGAGAGAAGTGTTAGATAGAGAAAGACTGCACAAGAAACATTTGATCTACCCTCTATGTATTCTGAGTGGTATCTGTTTCTGTTTCAAGTTAGATCTATGGAAGACTACTTTCTTGGGAAATACAAAGTATGCTTGGGATTTTATCAAAGATAGATAGTTGGAGGGGGAAAAAATTACAGAAGTTGAAAACCTCAAGGACATTATCATTATGTCATATAGTATCCCACATAAAAGCTTACCGTGGATTTATTGTAGAATTTATGTCAAACAGCAAAACATTTGGCTTCCCTAAAGAAGTAGATTTTTATTTCTCTCTCCTTTCTGATTATAAAGAGCTTTTCTTTCCTTTTCCCTCTGCCTATTTGAATTCAGTGCCCGATTTTGACACTACATGATAACTCTGTAAGTCCTTCCTACATATGTTTTATATATCAATTCTGTGCTGGAAAAATACTGAATTTAAATAGAAAATAGAGAGTGAAAACATTTGCTAGGCACTTGTTTTATGTGTATTACTAAGCTATGCCTAGTGAGCCCCTTTTAATTTTGTTTCTTCTCTACTTGTGGAGTCCTAGTGTGATGCTATGGGATAATGCACTAGACCACAAGGTCAGTTTGAACCACAAGTTGGTTGTTGTTGTTGTAAGTGTCATCGAGTCGGTTCCAACCCATAATGACCCTGTGTACAGGGTTTCCGAGGAGACGCTGGTGAATTTGAACCGCCGACCTTGCAGTTCAAAGCAGACATTTCAATCTCACCAACTACTCATTGGAAATGCTATACAGGGTCACTGTGGGTTGGAATCGACTCAACAGCATTTAACAACAACTTCTAATTGTATGTTTCTCTTTTGATTAGAAAACATTGTGTGATGTGATCCTCATGGTCCAGGAAAGGAAGATACCTGCTCATCGCGTTGTCCTTGCTGCAGCCAGCCATTTTTTTAACTTAATGTTCACAAGTAAGTATCTTAGATAAAGCATGTCTTTATTTTTCCTTTGTGATCTATACAAAAACATGCCATTTTCCTCATTCTTAAAGAACTTATGGCCATAGAACAATAAAGAGGTAAAAAAAAATGGTCTTAAAGATGATTGATCAAAGGAAAAATGTCTCCTAATTAGACCTAAGGGCCAAATGCCTTATTGATGGAGATACGGCTTCTACATGAATGCTTGAAGTTTTATTTGTAACCTCAGATGGAAAGGTAAAAGAGCAGATAAATCTCATGACATTATATTTTATTTAGCAAATTAAACTAAAGAAGGAAGAAATGATATACAGTCTATGCCTTAGAACCTGTAAGAGCTGGAACACAACAGAATTGCCTTGTGTTTCTGAGTCTGGCAAGTTCTCCACCTTTGACTTAACCAATTTTCTATTTGCTCATTTTAGTGGGAAATATATGAGTATTCCTTCTCTTTACAGTTTGCTACCGCAGTACAGGGTCTGGCTTTCACAGACTTTACTGCCATAGGTAAGGAGCTCTTGTAGCGTAGTGGTTTCTAATCAGGCTGTGAACCTTAAGGTCAGCAGTTTGAAACTACCAGCTGTTTGTGGGAGAAAAATGAGGCTTTCTGCTCCCATAAAGATTTACAGCCTCAGAAACTCTGTACAGGGTTTCTATGAGTCAGAACCGACTCCATGGCACTTAGTAACAGCAACTATTGTAGGAAGACCCTAGATTAGGAGTTGAGAACTGGGTTTAAGTTCTGGTTCTTCTACTTAGTGCTGTTTATGAGTTTAATTATCTTATATAATTCACCTGCCTCAAGTTTTCTCTTTGATGCATTGGCTACCTACCAAGGTTTTTAACAGGTGTGAGAGTTTGGCAAGCTGTAGGTGACTTGCATCTAATTGTCATTGTAGACTTGATCAGATTTTTATTCATGAAATAATTAGGAAATAATGGTGATGTTATCTATCAAAAACTACATTATTAATTTCATTAAAATACTTTGTAGGTTTGTTCAAGTTATATCAAAATAACTTTGCTAATAGTAGTTTAGAAGAATACTACTGAGAGACGGGGCCTGATGGTGGCTAGGGAGGAGATGCAGTGAAGTTCGCTGTCAGCAATGCCACAGAATACCAGGTAAAGCAGATCCAGGGCAGAGCTCCAAAACTCGAAATCACAGAGATAGGAATATTTAAAAGTTTGAAGGCTTATAGCTAGTGGAACTTGGAGCAAAAGTAAGAAATCACGTACTTTTGAGTCTGCTAGGCTCGGCAGCCCTGAGCCAACAACTTGGGCGAAACCAAACAGCAGGACCAAGTGGGGGAGCAGAAACACCACAGAAAAATGCCACAGGAACCTCGTAGCAAAGGTGGAAAACACAGTTTGTCGGTTTTGCTTTGTTCTGATTTTTTAAAATTTTTATCTGTTCATTGGCCCCACAACTGTTTGTGCATCTCCATTCTGGTGGGGGGGGGGTGCCTGAGCAAGTGGACACCCCCCACCCTCACTACTGGTGGGTTCTTCTAACACACATGCACACAGATACTCTCAGGCCACAAGCTGGCCCTGAACTGGTTTTTGTTTTGTTTGTTTTTTTAATATGGGAAAGGTCAGGACGGGTGTAGAGAAGGAAAGACAGTTAAAAAACAAAACAGGTCGAAAATTAAATTAAAGCCTGAGGTATAGCATAACAACCAACACTGGCATCTTGAAATCTCTCAGGCAGCTTTGAAGGCAAGAGGTTGAAGAGAGGACTTTAAAGTCATACTCATATTAGTCTACAGATTCTTTTTTTTTTTTTTTTTTTCCCTCCTGTCCCTTTTCTGCAATTATAAACTACAGTATTCAGTCTAATTTTGTCTTTTTATTATTGTTGTTGCTTTTTTTTTTGGTTGATGCTGTTTGGCTCTTGTATGCTCCACCTTCTACTTTTGGGGGACTCTTTCTCTCCCTATATTACCCAAGAAGAGAGAGCAACTGCTGCCATATAGTCAAGCTACAATCACACTCTATAAAACACCAAAACCCAGGCAAGAACCAATACCAACTGCCATATACCAGGGAGGCAGACAACACCTGTGAAAGTTACTCTGTGTTAAGCAATAAGAAGAGTGAAAAGGGAAGCCCACATCCTAATCACATCTACCTGGAAGCAATCAGAAAGCATAAAAAATGCCAAAACACATACTCAATTAAGTATTAAGGTCACAAATAAACACTAAACATGTCCAAGAAGCAAAAGCAGATGATCATATTAGCACATATCCAGAAACAAGATAAAATGTCTGTGACAAATGACCTAGAGGTAGACCTGGACTACATTCTGGAAGGAGGGCAGGCCTTGGAAAAGCCTGAGAAGGAATTCGGGAAAATGATTATAAAATGTTTCAAAACACTTTATAATGGAGTTGAGAAAAATAAGGACAAAGTCAGGAAAGCACTACAGGAACAATCAAATAAGATTAGATACAGCATTGGAAGTAATTCAAAACTTACAGAAAGAGGTCCAAATGATCAATAATAGAATATCAGAAATAGACAATACTCTGAAAGGGCAAAGGAGTATAACAGAAGAGATGGAAGGCAGAACCAGTGAGCTGGAAGACAAATCTTTCAATACCACTAAGGTAGAAGAGCAAACAGAAAAAAAGGAAAAAAAAAAAATATGAAGAAGGTCTAAGATTCATGTTGGACAACATGAAGAGGAAAACTTAAGAATTATTGGCATTCTAGAACAAGATGAATCATACAAGTCCACAGAGGAAATAGTTGAAGAACTCCTGGAAGAAAATTTCTATAACATCCTTAAAAGTGAAAAGATAAACATTCAAGAAGCTAAACAAACCCCAGGAAGGGTAGACCCCAAAGGAAAAATCACCAAGACTTATCACAATCAAGCTCTCCAAAATCAAAGATAAGGAGACACTCCTGAAAGCAGCTAGGGAAAACAGAAGTGTTAGAAAAGCAAGCAAATCAGATTAAGCTTGGATTTGTCAGCAGAAACCATGCAAGCAAGAAGGCAATGGGGAGACATATATAAAACCCTGAAAGAAAAAACTGCCAACAAAGAATCCTTTATCCAGCAACGCTGTCAATCAAATATGATGGTGTTATCAAAATATTCCAGGATAAACAGAGGCTAACGGATTTTGCCAAAGCCAACCCTGTGCTACAAAACATCCTAAAGGGAGTTTTGTGGACTGAGAACCAACAGAACAGCCAACAACCAGAGATTGATATACATGGCAGCACCTCCCAGAATTAAATCGACAGAAGGAAGAGTTGGGAACAGAACAAAACTATAAGAACAAACTCAAAGAATCTGGGATGTCAGTCTATGATCAAAAGAATTACAGTGTAAAAGAAGGTAAACACATAGGACCAGAGATCCAGATGGTGAGAAGGTCAGGCCGATTACAGGGTAAAATAGACTGCACTAAATGGAGAGAAAAGTTAATGGACTATAATATAAGTCTTCCTCAAAGAAAATTAACATTGCACAACATACTAAGAAAATGAAAAGCCAAGAAGAACATGGAAACATTAAAACTATGAGGAAACTCAAAAGAAAGAACACAAAAGGCATGAACTCAACAAAGAAGGCACAGAACAAAGAAAGCAGCAACACCACAGAAAAACCAAACATAATGGCAGCAATTAATCCATACCTATCGATAATTACACTGAATGTAAATGGATTAAATGCACCCCTGAAGAGACCGAAAGTGGCAGAATGGATAAGAAAACAAGATCCTTCAATATACTGTCTGCAAGAGACACATCAAACACACAGAGACAAAAACAGTTTGAAAGTCAAAGGATGAAAAAAAATATACCAAGCTAATTGCAATAAAAAACGAAGAGGAGTGGCAGTACTAATCTCTGATAAAATAAACTTTAAGGCAAAAACCAGCATAATAGATAAAGATAGATATTATCTCATGATTAAAGGAACAATTGAACAAGATGACATAACCATAATAAATATCTATGCTCCCAATGAAAGAGCTCCAAAATATATAAAGCAAACTTTAATAGATTTGAAGAAAGAAATAGACAAATCTACAATAATAGTGGATGATTCTAAAACACCCCTTTCAAAAATGGATAGAACAACCATAAAGAAATTTGACAAAGACAGAAGAACTAAACAACACAATCAGCCAACTGGACCTCATAGATGTGTACAGAGCATTCAACCCAACAACAGCACAGTACACATTCTTTTCCAGTGCACATGGAGCAGTCTCCAGAATAGACCATGTCCTAGGTCACAAAACAAATCTCCATAAATTTACAAATATCAAACTACTACAGAGCGTCTTCTCAGACCACAATGCCATCAAATTAGAAATCAACAATAGGAAAACTAAGGAAATAAAGTCAAATACATGGAAACTGAATAACACCCTGCTGAAAAGCGACTGGGTAGTAAAAGAAATTAAACGTGAATTCACAAAGTTTCTAGAAACAAATGAGATGAAAACACAACATACAAAATCTTTGGGACACAGCAAAAGCGGTGCTGAGAGGACAATTTATTGCAGTAAACGCATACATCCAAAAAGAAGAAAGAACCAAAATTAACACGTTAACACAGCATCTACAACAATTAGAAACAGATCAACCAAGGGAATCTACAGCCACCAAAAGAAAAGAAATATTAAAGATTAGAGCAGAAATAAATGAGATAGAAAACAAAACAAAACAAAAAAACTATAGAAAGAATCAGCAGAACAAGAAGCTGGTTCTGTGAAAGGATTAACAAAATTGACAGACCATTGGCAAACCTAACAAAAGAAAACAGAAGACACAAACAACATGCATTAGAAACCACATGGGCAATGTCACAACAGAACCAAAGAAAATCAAAAGGATAATAACAGAATACTGTGAAGAGTTGTACTCCAACAAATTTGAAAACTTAGAAGAGATGGATACATTTTTAGATAAACACAACCTACCTAAACTTACACAGAGTGAAGCAGAAAACCTGAATAGACCCATAACAAAAGTAGAAATTGATCAGGTCTTCAAAAAACTCCCAACGAAAAACAGTCCAGGCCCAGATGGCTTCACTGGTGAGTTCTACCAAACTTTCAGGGAAAAGCTGTCACCAATTCTACTCAAATTATTCCAGAAAATAGAGGAGGATGGAAAATTTCCTCATACAAAAACCAGTGGAGGACATCACTAAGAAAGAAAATTATAGACCAATATCACTCATGAACATAGATGCAAAAATTCTCAACAAAATCCTAGCCAACAGAAAACAGCAGCACATCAAAAAAATAATACATCATGATCAAGTGGGAGTCATATCAGGGATGCAAGGATGGTTCAACATTAGAAAAATGATCAATGTTATCCATTATCGAAAGTGAAGTATTGAAGTCTACAAGTATTAGTATTACTTTTTCTATTTCTCCCTTCAGTTTTTGATTCCTCATTTGTTAGATACATATATGTGATTTTTGTTTTTGATGTATTTATGCTTTTATTATTATAAAATGTTGTACTTTCTGTCTAGTTAAAATAAAAACAGAACGCTAGTATTTTATGAAATAGGGAAAAGCTAATTCTAGTTTTATGACTCTTAAGCTTTTATTTTATTTTTTGAGACGGGACCTTGGTGGCACAGTGATTAAGCACTTTGCTGTTAACTGAAAAAGGTCAGCGATTTGAACCCACGCAGTGGTGGCTGCAGGAGAAAGAACTGGTAGTCTAAATCCCTAAAGATGAAAGCCTGCAAAACCTACGGGCTGTTTTACTCTCAGTCACCAATCTACTTGATAGCGGACACAACAGTATATTAAGTCCTTACATATTCTTCATTTAAGGCACATTCTCAGGTGTAGGGAGTGAATTTTCATTTATTGTAGGAATATTTGGCTTTCTAGTGTCTTTTCTTCCAGAAAAGTTTATCTGTTGTTCTCCAAATTTAACATGGCCTGAAATGCTGTGGCTCCACAGTGCAACTAGTTGTAATACTGATGCCATTTATGGTTCTTTTCATTTTAGCTAACATGCTTGAATCAAAGTCCTTTGAAGTAGAACTCAAAGATGCTGAACCTGACATTATTGAACAACTTGTGGAATTTGCTTATACTGCTAGGTGAGTTAAGAAGGATCATTTCTGTTTTAGAGAAATATGGTTGGCATCTAATGTGAAAAAGCATTGTTGTAACTGACATGCTTCAAATTCTTGAGAATAAAAAACTACAAGGACACGGAGGGTTTTGAAAATTCGATACCATACTAATTGTAGGAACCAAAACTTGTAATTTTTTGTATAATTTCAAGTGCTAGTCGAATATATTCTATGATAATTCCATTTAAATCGTGGGGGAAAAAATAAGTTGTGAGAAATTAATAGCCACTTTAATTTGCAGGATTTCTGTGAATAGCAACAATGTACAGTCTTTGTTAGATGCAGCAAACCAGTACCAGATTGAACCTGTGAAGAAAATGTGTGTTGATTTTTTGAAAGAACAAGTTGATGCATCAAATTGTCTTGGTAAGAAATCATGTTTGTATTTAACTAGTTATAAGGATCCTCATTTATTAACCTTAATGACATTATCCACTAGAACCTTTTAGTAATGAATTTTAAGAGGAGTTTGGGGAGGGACATATTAACCTGGGCAGCAACCAGCCCATCTCATACTTTGTCAACAGTTTCCAGAAAATAAAATTACTTGAATAGTGAATTTTCATGTACAAAAGGGCTTCAGAAAGTTTGTGGGGAAACTCCATTATCCCATAATTCAATTTTTACATGAACTTTTTGAAGCTCCCTCATATCTAGAGTAAGGAGGTAGAGGGTCAGCAAAAAGAGGAAGCACCTCCCGGAGATGGATTGACACGGTGGCTCAGCAGTGGGCTCACACATGGGAAGGGTTATGAGGTGGTATTAATTCTGCTGTGCATATGGTCACTATTGAGTTCAAACCCATTTGACAGCACCTACAACCACAGGATAAGGAGTAAGGATTGCATTTGGTGGCAGTGTGGCATATGAGAACCTCAATATGAATGTTTACTATTATTGAAGCACTTAGGAGTTAGGATATGCCCAAGTCTGTACTAGATATCTCGCTTTATCCTACTAGACACGTCATCTCCACTTGACAAATGTGGAAACAGATTATGCAGCTTGCTTGAGGTCACATAGCTATTATGTGGAGAAGCTGAAATTAGAATTCAAATAATACTGTAGTCCACCCAGAAGTACCTGGGAAGAAAAGCCTGGTAATCACTGTCAAAAAAATCAGCCATTGAAAATGCTTTGGAATTTTACATTGACATTGATGCATATGGGGACACGATGAGTTGGAATCAACTTGATGGCAACTGGTGGTGGTGGTAAAGCCAGCCAGGCAAAGGGATATGAATGAGGTTTTCCTTGTATCCAGAAAAAGGATTGGACTGGATAGAAGCAGGAAAGTGAGCAGCTATGCAGATGTATATACTGATGACATTTTTATAAAGCTAGCCACAAGTCTATCTATTGAGAATATCCTTAGATAAGGACATAGTAGACTAGCCCCCCAATCTTACCTAGGCAACAGAGACAGCTAGGATGAGTCGCCCCATCTTTCTATACCATAGTTTGGGTTCTCTTCATCAATACAATTCTGTATTCCTGAAATTTAAGTTTGTTTCCCCTTTATAAACAAATAATCTTATAAGATGTTTTATAAAAAGGTAATTAAGGAAAATCTTGGAAGATGATGGTTTGAGTGTACTTTTATAATTTCCTAGCTCTAAATTTCTTATTTGATTTAACTAGAAAGAAAAACAGTTGAAGTAGGGAGGTAAAAAGCAGCTGGAGTGAGTTGGTGCCAAACACACATAGGGTTTGGACTTCTGAGGAGAACAGTTAGTATTTTTACCTGGGAAAAGCTTCTGTCATTATTGTTTACAAAGCTGGGAGGAAGGATTGCCCAGTAGCCTAAAACCTGGCTAAACTGTGGGTGAAGATAGTGGTCCCGCCAGCTGAGGATGGCATCATCATTTAGTTCCCAGGGGAACTGCATCTATCTGCTTTCTCTTGAGCCCAGGGAGTGGCTCTCCTTGGGAGCTAGTTAGAGAAGAACTCTATCTTAGGTTTCACTGCCTGCTAATGTTCTGTTGTCCAACAGACCATAACAATCGGATTTCCAAAAGTGCTAAAGGAACCTAGGGCAGCTTATGGAATTGGGCAAAGGTCATATAAACTTAAAGGAAATCCAGTAGTTTCAGGGAGGGAAAACCAATTTAAACAACCAAAACAAATGGTTCTTGTAGACAAATGTAATGTAAAAAGTATAAAGGAACTTGAAAGTAGAAAAAGGGGGCGGAACCTTGATTTTTCTAGTTTTAAAATTCAATTTAATTGAAAAGTAGAAAGGATACACCTAAAATTTTTTTCTAAAGAAGATCAAACAGGAGACTACTTTATGATACAAAACAGTAATGTGCAGAAATGAAACCATGATTGGAAAGATAAAAGGCATAGAAGGAATATTGTTGTTGTTAGTTGCCATCAAGGACACGCCAGTCACGGCACCCGCATCAAGAAAAGGCAGCATTGTCTGGTCCTGTGTCGTCCTTACCATCACCAGCTTGTGGGAATCATATGCAGCTGTTGTGCCAGCCCCTACCCTCGTTATCCCTCTGCTTCACCAAATAGGATATTCTCTAGTGCTTGATCTCTCCTGATGTTTCCAAAGCAAATGATCTATTCTGTCATGACCCATAAAGTTTCATTGGCTGATTTTTTTTTTTTTTTTTCAAATAAGATTTCCAGGCTTTTCTTCCTAGTCTGTCTACTCACCACCCGTCTGTTTGTCCGTGATGGAAGTTTTTCCAACAATATATCAATACCAGCAGGCTCACTGACAGAGGAAAGGTTGCTGTGGAGTTTCCAGACTTAGAAAGACTAGGAAGACAGGGTCACTAGTGTAGAGTACAAATTTCAAAAGGAACAGAGAGGGAAAACCATTATCAAAGGGTCTCATAAGTTTAGAAAAGAACTTAAGCTTTAAAAAACTAAGTTATCCTGAGTACTAGGGCTGATCAATAAACTATTATACCCCTCTTCTGGATATATCCTACTGGTATTTTTTTGCTTCTAAAGGTCAAGAAAGAACTTACATTTGGGATGCTGAAAATGTCGTGGAACTAAATAGTGGGAATGGTAGGCCAACACTGTCAGTGTCTAAATGTCACTAGTAGTAAATGTTATGTTACAGATATTTTACGACACTAAAATATTAATTAGGAAAAAAGGGCATGTATAAACTCTCAAAGAGAAGAGGTATATGGTACATTACCAAAAAATGATGACAAATGCTTTTCGTCCTGTGTGTTTACCCCTTAGTTCCTCCTGTAAAGAGGGAAGTTGGTTTTCTCCTCTGTGGGTTAATGTGCTGGACTGCAAGGTCAGTGCTTCAGGTTCAACAACAATATGGGCTTTGCCATATGACTTGGTTAGCCCATTGTTACTGTTAAGTGCTGTCAAGTTGGTTCCAACCCATAGCAACCCTGTATAGGGTTTCTGAGGAGTACCTGGTAAACTTGAACCACTGACCTTGCTGTTCAAACTGACTTCAGTGTCCAGGTCATTAACCACTGCACTGCACCGTTGTTGTTGTTAAGTGCCATCAAGTCAAATCCAACCCATAGCAACCTTTATAGGGTTTCCGAGGAGCAGCTTGGTGAGTTTGAACCGCCAACCTTGCAGTTCAGACAGCTTTGCAGTCTGGTGCATTAACCAACAGTGCCACACCAGGACATCCGCACTAAACCATTGTTGTGGTTGTTAAGTGCCATCAAGTCGATTCTGACTCATAAGGACCCTATATAGGGTTTCCGAGGAGCAGCTGGTGAGCTTGAACCGCTGACCTTGTGATTCACATGGCTTTGCAGTCTGGAGCATTAATCCACAGTGCCACACCAGGACTCCATCAGGCATTAGCAAATTGACATCATCATAGGCTTGAATAGTACTTGTATGCTGCAGCTTACCCTCCTTTGCTGCTCTTGAAAAGAATGTTAGAGACCAATGAAGGCACACTTGAGCTATCCCTGCTGAGGCCTCTTGGACTAACCAGCATGCCCAGATACATGAGTTACCAGTTATGTGAGTGAGACCATTTTATAACATTCAGCCCCAGCTGAGCAACTAGCTGACTAGTGATCGGCTATGCAGTCCACGCTGAAAAAACCACTCACCTGACCAATAGAATTTTGAGAAATGATAGTTTGTTATTTTCCCTTGCAGCAATAAGTAATTGATAAAACGGATTAGTTACAAAAGAAAGAGAATCTGGTGGTAATGCTTTTTATCTGCAACAGATTAGAAGACAGTAGTACAAAGTTTGCAGATACTAAAAACAAAACAAGTAAACAAAAAACCCTGCCATTCAGTTCATTCTGACTCATAGCAACCGTATAGGACAGACGAGAACTGCTCCCTAGGCTTCAGGGCATCCGGGTGGGGCACTGTAGGATAAACACTGATCTGCAAGGTCGGCAGTTCAAACCCACCAGTCATTCTCCAGAAACCCTATACAGGGTTGCTATGAGTCGGAGTCGATTTCTACAGCAACTAAGAACAATAGCATAGGGTTTCAAAGACAGTAAATCTTTACAGGACTAGACAGCCTCATCTGTCTCCCATGAAGTAGCTAGCTAGTGGGTTTGAACCCGTAATCTTGAGATTAGCAGTCCAATGTTTGATACACTGTGCCACCAGGGCACCTTTTGCAAATGATGATGGTGATGATTGTGTATCTGTTGTGACAGTTCCAATTCATATCGACCCTGCGTAGGATTTCTGAGGCTGTAAATGTTTATGGGAACAGAAACCCTCATTTTCTCCCTAGGAGCGGCAGGTGACCTTCAAACTGCTGACCTGTGGTTAGGAGCCCACTACACCTCCAGGGATAGGAAGAGGAAAAAAGTATTGTAGTCCAAGATAGCATTGATCTGACCTTCTTCAAGGACACAATGTATAGTGACCTAGATCCCTTCTGAGAAAAGTCTGGTAGGAAGTGCTACACTGATTGAGAAGGGGTGTACTTAGGCTTCTTAGGTACAAGCAAAATGGAGGCTTTTTCTGGATTAAACAGAAGAGGAATTTCTTAAAACGCTATAATATATTTTATATAGTAACCCATAGAGTTATCCAGAAGTCTCAAAAATGAAGCTTGGGAAAAGTATAAGGGTTAGAATAGCAGAAGCTTTGTTGTTAAGTGCCATCCAGTGAATTCCAACCAATAGTGACCCTGTATACAGTTTCCAAAGAGTTGGTGAGCTTGAACTGCCGACCTTGCAGTTAACACAACTTTGCTTTCTGATGCATTAGCGCACTGCGCCACACCAAGACTCCTTTAGATAGGTAGATATCAGAGAATGTTTGCCCAGTAATCAAAAATGCTAATTGTTTTTATATCTTTTTTTTTTTTTCAAACCGTAGGTCTCACATATTTATTAGCCAACCTCTTTAAATGCAGAAGCATAAAAATAAAGGGAGAAACCAGAAGTTTTGTAAAACATGTTCAATTGATCAAATCTTAGCAAAATTGAACTTGCTATGGTAGGGTGCTAGGGCCTGAGTCTATTATGTGCTGCACCATCACATGTGCTGCTCCTTAGTGAACATGTGCCACTCCTTAAAGAACATGTACCACTCCTTAAAGAACATGGGCCACTCCTTAGTGAACATGGGCCACTCCTTAGAGAACATGTGTCACTCCTTAAAGAACATGGGCTACCCCTTAGAGAACATGGGCCACTCCTTAGTGAACATGTGCCACTCCTTAAAGAACATGGGCCATTCCTTAGAGACCCGGCTTGGTTCTTCTCCAGTGCTTTCTCTTGGAGTGTATCTGATTTTATGACCAGTTCTCATTCGAATCCATTGGGAATGGGAGGAGTCTGCTTTTGTTTCTTGGTCCGGAATCTCTGGATCCTGAAAGTCTTATGAGAAGAAATAGTGACGATGGAACATAGCAGCACTCACACGATGGCAAAGAAAGGAAGAGGTGTTTTCATATATCTTTTGAGTGTTTATAAATACTGATCAGTAGCCACAGAAAATCTTGAGTATCTAAAAGAGAAGAGACAGAGGCTACATTCTCTGATTGTAGTGCAGTAAAACCAGAAACAAAGCACAAAAGGATAATTGTCTCCCCCGCCCTATTCTGTACTCTACTGCTGACTTGAGGTCGAATGATCAAGCCCACCAGCTGCTCCTTGGAAACCTTATGCAGGGTGGCTGTGAGTCGGAACCTGCTTAAGAGCACTTAACAATTACAACAACAAATTCCGTACACTTAGAGATTTAACTGGAATGTTACTTAGAAAAACACCTTAAAAGAGGCATTGAAAATCAAGCTACAGGAGATATATGTATATATATATATATGTGTGTGTGTGTGTGTGTGTGTGTGTGTGTGTGTGTGTGTGTGTATATATATATATATGGATTTGGATAGAAAACTTACAAGCTCCTTCTATAAGAGTAGTGTTACCATGATGCCAACATTGACAAAGAACATGTCCACATGTGCATGCAAAAACTTCAGGTCAGTTTCACTTAGAACCACTGATTTTTAAAAACACTTTAAAAATAAATAAAAATATAGCAAATGAAAACCTGCAATGAATATATTTTTAAAAAGAAAAGTTCTTGATGAGGTAGAAGTTATTAAGAAATGTGCTAATATGATTTACTAAATTAACAAGTTACTGGAGAAAAAAAAATATACAGCTATGACAGATGCTGGAAACATCTTGGTGTTTTTGATACCGGTTCTTGGTGGTTTTTTTAAAAAAACAACTTTTTAAAAATAGAAATAGAATACTTTATTCATTGTGTCAGAAACCTACAAAAAATATTTTTTATAGGGAAACTTACGATTCAGCTTTGTGCTGGAAGTTTTCATAAATGCAATCAGATGTGAAAAAACAACAACAACAAAAAGTAATAGTAAAACTGTTCTTGTCAGCCTTGATCAGATTTCTGAAATTCAGTCAGTCTAATTTTTCTGAAATCATCCTTTATCTTCAAGGTATGTTTTTTGGTTTGTTTGGTTTTTTTTTAAAGCTATTTTCTATTCCTTTATTTTCTTTCTGTGTTTAGGTATAAGTGTTCTAGCAGAGTGTCTAGACTGTCCTGAATTGAAAGCAACTGCAGATGACTTTATTCATCAGCATTTCACTGAAGTTTATAAAACTGATGAGTTTCTACAGCTTGATGTTAAGCGAGTAACACACCTCCTCAACCAGGACACTCTGACTGTGAGAGCAGAAGATCAGGTGATTACACTGCCTCCCCACATTCTCCTTGGTAAAAAATGTCCTGACTGACCTCTTACACCTCATATTTCAGCACAAGACAAAGAAGGGAGTCACATTAGAACAGAATTTGTATATTACACTAAAGAGGGAATTCCAATATCTGTTTCATAGGAAGAATAATAAGCCTTGGGTGCTTGAGAGGCCACTTGGTAAAAACAAAACTCTGTTGGGTACCTTGGTATCATAATAAAGTCTCCACCAAAGATGTCCCATAAACCCTAATCCCTAGAACCTGTCAGTATGTTATCTTACATGGCAAAAGGGATTTTGCAGGTGTGATCTAGTTAAGGATCTTGGGATGGGGAGATGGTCTGGTTGGGCCCATTGTAATATGGGTGAGGGATGCAGAAGAGTCAGTGTCAGAGTGATGCAGTATGAGAAATACTAGACCGACTGTCGATGGCTTTGAAGATGGGACATGGGACTATATGCCAAAGAATGCAAGCAGCCACTAGAAACTGGAAAAAAAAAAAAAAAGGATTCTCCCCTAGAACCTCCAGAGAGGCACAACCTGTTAACAACTTAATTTTCAAAACCGTAAGATAAGAGTGTTTTACTGTTTTAAGCTGCTAAGTTTGTGGTGGTTCACTACAGCAGAAATATAAAACTACTTGTTATTTTTAGTTGCCATTGAGTCAGTTCCATGTCATGGTAAGCCTATTGTGTAGAGTAGACTGTTCTATAGGGTGTCCAAGGCTGTGACTGTTCTGATGCAGAGCACAAGCTCTTCTGAGTTGCTTTGTTGTTGTTAAGTGCCCTTGAATCAGTTCCAACTCACAGCAACCCTGTATAGCTGAAGTGGGGAATATCTGGCATGAGGGCCATAGAAGGCTTGAGAAACCATTTGGTCTGGCCCACCAAGACAACCACAGTTCCAGCCATCACGTTGTTGTTGTTAAGTGCCGTCGAGTTGATTTTGACCCATAGCGACCCTATATAGGGTTTCCAAGGAGTGACTGGTGAGCTTGAACCGCTGACCTTGCAATTCAAACAACTTTGCAGTCCAGCGCATTAACCCACAGCGCCACACCAGGACTCCAGCCATTACATTAGGGTGAGTTAATTAAATTTTTTACCAAATGTTGTTGTTGTTGTTGAGTGCCGTCGAGTCGGTTCCGACCCATAGCGACCCTGTACAGGGTTTCCGAGTGTACCTGGCTAATTTTCAAATTGATAATTTTGTATGGTCCATGATTGATGTTATAAACTTGACAGAAAAAAGGTTCCCCATCCCTGCTATGGAGTCCTGGTATGGCACTGTGGGTGCAAGGTCAGTGGTTCAGACTCACCAGCGGCTCCTTGGAACCCTTATACAGGGTCACTGTGGGTCAGAATCTACTTGACATCACATAACAACAACAACATCCCTGCTATATAAGGTTTCCAAGGAATGGCTGGTTAGCAATCAAGTGCTTTTACTACAGCACCATACCAGGACCTTTAAGCAGTTCAAACCATCTATCTTTTGACTAGTAACCCAGTGTTTAACTGCTTATACCGCCCAGAAACTGCTGCATGTATATGATCAGATGCTTTGAGTTTCTTTTGTTTTAATGATAAAAAGTTATCATGCCATGTTCAAAGTACTGCTGTGGCACTGTGGGTTAATGCACCGGACAGCAAGGTAGATTTGAACTGCAAGATCAGCGGCTGAAGTTCACCAGCTGCTCCTCACAAACTCTATACAGGGTCACTGTGAGTTGGAACCGACTCGATGGCACTTTAACACCAGTGTGCCTCACAGCTCAGAGTATCAGTTTAAAACTTAGTAGTTTGGAACTGGAAGTTATGACTCCACAGAAAAAGAAAAAAACAAAACTTGGTTCTATAATCAAAACTGTCTTATTTGCAGTATAGAAAGAGAGGAAAAGGATAACTTTAGACTGAAGAAACCAAACAAACACTGTCTCAGCCACATGGTCAAGGATAATTAACACCATCAGAGATAAGTCATGTTGATGGCATGTACCCTTGATAAAATGAGATGAGAATTTTAAGACTTCACCACTTTATATGTTGTTGTTATTAGATACTGCCCAGTCGGTTCTGACTCATAGTGACCCCATGCAGAACAGAACAAAACACTGCCCGGTCCTGCACCATTCTCACAGTTGTTATGTTTGAGCCCATTGCTGATGTCACTGTGCCAGTCCATCTCGTTGGAGGGTTTTCCTCTTTTTTGCTGACTCTCCACTTTACCAAGCTTGACATCCTTTTCCAGTTCCTTCCTGATAACGTATCTGAAGCATGAGAGACGAAGTCTCACCAACCTGCCTTCTAAGGAACATTCTAGCTGTACTTTTTCCAACACAGATTTGTGTGTTCTTTTGGCAGACAGTGGTATTTTAATGTTCTTCTCCAACACCATATTTCAGGTGCTTCAGTTCTTCTGTGATCTCCCTTATTCATTTTCCAACTTTCACTTTCATAGGACGCCCTTGAAAATTCCATGACTATCGACAGGCGTCCCTTAGTGCTCAAACTGATGTCTTTACTCTTGAACTCTTTAAAGATGACTTGTGCTTCAGATTTGCCTAGTGCGGTGCATCTTTTGATTTGTTCGTGGCTGCTTCCAGGATTGCTAATTGTGGATCCAAGCAAAATGAAGTCTTTCCTACATTTATCATGTTATTCATTAGTCAGTTTGTGAAGATTTTTGTTTTCTTTATATTGCTGTGCAATCCATACTGATGGCTGTTGTCTTTGGTCTTTTTATCAGCAAGTATATCAAGCAAAGTTGTATCATCTGCACGTCACAGGTTGTTAATGAGGCTTCCTCCAATCCTGATGCCAAATTCTCCTTCATATAATCCAGCTTCTTGATTATTTGCTCAGTGTACAGATTAAACAAGTATGGTGAAAGGATACAACCCTGATACATAGTTTTCCTGATTTTAAACTGTGTTTAAAATCCCCTTGTTCTGTTTCAACAACTGCCTCTTGATCTATGTACAGGTTCCTCATGAGCACAAGTGTTGTTGTTGTTGTTAAGTGCCATCGAGTCGGGTCCGACCCATAGCGACCCTGTACAGGGTTTCCAAGGGTGTAAATCTTTACGGGAGTAGAAAGCCTCATCTTTCTCCCGCGGAGCAGCTGGTAGTTTCGAACCGCTGACATTAAGGTTCGCAGCCCGATTCGTAACCACTACGCTACCAGAGCTCCTTAAGTGTTTTGAAATACCCATTCTTCACAGTGTTATCTTCCCATAGTTTGTTATGATCCACAAAGTTGAAAGCCTTTGCATAGTCAAGAACGCACAAGTAAACATCTTTCAGTTACTCTTTTCTTCAGCCAAGATCCGTATGACAGCAGCAATAATATCCCTAGTTGCACATCCTCTTCTCAGTCCAGCTAAATTTCTGGCAGTTCACTGTCAATGTACTACTGAACCATTTTTTGAGTTATCATCAGCAAAAATTTACTTGTATGTGCTATCAGTGATATTGTTTGATGATTTTCATATTCTGTTAGGTCACCTTTGTTTGGAATGGACACAAATAAGAATTTCTTTCAGTCAGTTCACCAAGTAGCTGTCTTCCAAATTTCTTGGCACGATGAGTAAGCACCTCTAGCACTGCAGTAGTTTGTTGAAACATCTCAATTGGTATTCATTAATTCCTGTAGCCTTGTTTTTTCTCCATTGCATTCAGTGAAAGACTTCTGCCTACCGTCAGTTCTAGACCATATGGTGCCTCTTGAAATAGTTGAACATTGACCAATTCTTTATGGTACAGTGACTGTATATTCCTTCCATTCTCTTTTGATGCTTCCTTTGTCATTCAAAATTTTTCCTGTAGGATCCTTCAGTACAGCAACCTGAGGCTTGAGTTTTTCTTCATTTCTTCCAGCCTGAGAAATGCTGAGTGTGTTCTTCCCTTTTGGTTTTCTAACTCCAGGTCTTTACACATTTCATTAGAACACTTGACTTTGTTTTCTTGAACTGCCTTTTGAAATTTTCTGTTCAACCCTTTTATTATTTCTATCACTTCAGCTTCTCTATGTTCAAGAGCAAGTTTATTCTCTCTTCTGATACCCATTTTGTTCCTTTCTTTGTTTCCTGTATTTTTCATGACTTTTTGCTTTCTTCATGTATGATGTTCTAGATTTCATCCCACAGACCCTCTGATCTACAGTCATTAGTGTCTAATGCATTAAATTGGTTCTTGATCTCCATTTCTATTACCAAGGCCATGTTTTCTAACTACTGATCCTTCCTCTATGTTTCCAACTTTCACTTGCCAATCTCCAGTAACTGTCACTGCATCTTCATTGAATGTTTGATCAATTTCATACTCAAGAAGTTAGTGAGATTTTTCAATTTCATTATCTTTGGCTTTAGTGGTTGGTGCGAAATTTGAATAATAGTGATATTAACTGGTCTTCTGTGTTGTTAAGTGCAGTTGAGTCTGTTCCAACTCATAGCGACTCTGTTTAGGTTTTCCAAGGAGTGAATGGTGAATTTGTACTGCCAACCTTACAGTTCAAACTGACATTGCGGTCCAGTGCTTATCCTACAGTGCCACACTAGGACTCCAGGTCTTCCTTGTAGGCATGTGGATATTTTACTATCACAGATAGCACTGTACTTCAAGATTTGAAATACTTTTTTTGACAATTGAAACTACCAGCTGTTCCATAGGAGAAAGATGAGGCTTTCTGCTCCCATAAAGATTTATAGCTTTGGAAACCCTGTACAGGGTCGCTCTAAGTTAGAACTGACTCCACGACACATAACCACCACCACCATACCTAGTATATGAATCTTTATGCGTTCCATTTCATTTTTGACAACTTCCAATTTTCCTAGATTCATACTTCATGCGTTCCATGTTACTATGTTCTGGTTCTTAATAAATGCCTGCAGCAGCTTCCTATTTTGAGTTTTGCCACATCAACAAATGGAGTCCTGGTGTGGCACTGTGGGTTAATGCACTGGACTGAAAAGTCGTTTGAACCACAAGGTCAGCGGTTCAAGCTTACCAGCTGCACCTCAGAAACCCTATACAGGGTCACTATGGATCAGAATTGACTCGACGGCACTTAACAACAACAAAACAGCAAATGAAGGTCTGGAAAGCTTTACTCTAGTTAACATCATTAAGGTCAACTCTAGTTTGAGGAGGCAGCTCTTCCCTAGTTATGTATTTTGACTGTTTCCCAAACCTGATGGGCTCACCTTCCAGCACTGTATCAGACAATGTTCCATTGCTGTACATAAGGTTTTCAGTAGTTAACCTTTCAAAAGTGGTCCACCTCTCTTTCTTCTTATTCTGTCTTGGTCTGGAAGCTTCGCTGAAACCTATCCACCATGTATGACCCAGCTGGTATTTCATATTCTGATGGTACAGCTTTCAGCATAACTGCAACACACAAGCCACTACAGTATGACAAACTGACAGACAGTGGTGGACATTTAAAACTATTCTAAAATAAGTTTATTTAACAAATAGATCAGGGACAAGTCTCTATAAAAATAAACTAAACTCATAGGAAATTAGATCTGGGGACTCATTATTACCTCTCCATAATTAACTTCTTTAACCAGCTCATGTATGTATGAGTGTATTGTAGAATATTTATGAGAAAATGTTTTTAATGTGTTTAATCATTTGTAAATCATATCATGTTAATGAACTTGGAATTGTTCAGTACAATTAAATGAATGCTATAATATTATTTGGAGCCCTGGTGTGGTGCTGTTGGTTAATGCACTGGACTGCAAAGTCGGCTTGAACCGGGAGGCCTGCGATTCAAGTTCACCAGCTGCTCCTTGGAAACCCTATGTAGGATCACTATGGGTCAGTACCCATACTACTCTATGGCACTTAACAACAACAACAGCAGTGTTATTTTGGAAGACTTTGTCCTGTGATTTACTGTTTAATTATAGAGTTTTTATATCTTAAAGTATTTGTAATGCAGATATATCTTTCAATTCATGATTCAGAAATAAAAGATAGAAATAACATTAATGTGTGGTCTTCATATCTACTGGTGTGAACTGCCTTGGAAAATTAACATATTTTGCTGGTACCAATGAGCATGACTCGATGGCACTTAACAACAACAACAATGAGCATATATTAAAATTATCATTGACCAATAGATTTTTTCAGTGCAAATTTACATCAGATCTCCTTCCAAAAATAAGGTGTATTTTCTCTTTCTTTTTTTTAATTTAAAAATGATAGTCACAAATTCAATGCCTTCTCAGTAATGAAATTTAGGTAGTAGTGATTAATTATTTAAAAATTACTTAGAAGAATCACTAGAGCAATGTATAATTTATTCTGAAGTATAGGGAAGTGTCTGAATACTATATGAGGAATGAGTGAATGTTTTCTTTATGTGGTTCTCTCCCTGCCGTGTAAGAGTGAACATAGGTAAGTGGAAATGTTGCTGCTATCCATGGACTTAACTATGCTGTTTTTCCTCCTTAGGTTTATGATGCTGCAGTCAGGTGGTTGAAATACGATGAACCTAATCGCCAGCCATTTATGGTTGATATCCTTGCTAAAGTCAGGTTTCCGCTTATATCAAAGAACTTCTTGAGTAAAACAGTACAAGCTGAACCACTGATTCAAGACAATCCTGAATGCCTTAAGATGGTGATAAGTAAGTTGACAGTATCCTTTCATAACGTCATCATGTAGCCTGTTATTCATGAGCTTAAAATACTTTAGAATGGATCAGACTAAGTAACCAGGAAGAACTATTCAAGCCTTTGCTCTTCTAGATACTTGATTCATGGGTGTTCTCAGTTGTACAGCTGGAAGAGTCTTATTTTATAAGGATGTGTATGATGAGATACAAAAATTATGTGTGCTTTCTCTTGTGGTGCTATAAGATAAGCACTAGAATGCTAACAGGAATGTCAGCAGTTTAAACCCACCAACTGCTCCTTGAAAACCCTAAATAGGGTCATTATAAGTCAGAACTGACTCCACTTAACAACTTTACAATAACTTTTACAAACTTTTGTTTCTGGTGTTTCCTTTTCATTTTATTTAAGCTAGTAGGGGTAGCATAGTGGTTATGAGTTAGCTGCTCACCTCAAGGTCAGCAGTTCGAAACTACCAGCCGTTCTGCAGGAGAAAAATGAGACACTTTCTGCTCCCGTAAAGATTTACAGCCTTGGAAACCCTATGCAGGGTGCTATGATTCGGAACCGACTCCAAGACCACACCACAACCTCCGCTACGCCACCAGTAGTGTACTATGACTTCCTTTTTCTTTTTTTTAAGCTTTTTTTATTGAGAATTGAGTTATGGTTTATAGAACAGAGTATCAATTTTCATTCAACAAAGTGCTTACTTTGTGTTACTATAATGATTGCAGTTCCTCCATGTACCAATAGTTAGCAGTGTTTACATCTAATCACTCTTAACTATTGCACTGCCCCCCTGTGTCTCCACTACTGTCATCCATGTCACCATGTGTCTGCCCACTGTAATCATCTTAGATTAGTCTCTCTTATTAAGAAAAATCTTCTCTAAACTTTTTACAGCAGTGGTCTCATGCAGTCTGCCCTTCTAAGCATAATGTCCTCCAGTTCATCCATGTTGTGAGTTGTTTTGCGGCTTAATCATCATTCTTTAATGTTGCATAGTATTCTGATGTGTATATACCAACGTTTGTTTAAGCCTTCCTCTGTTGATGGGCATTTAGGCTGTCTCCATCTTTTTGATTTTTCCCTGTAGACAGCATATGAAGGATCCTGTTTTTTCTACTCTGTCTCTTTACTGATGCCTTTAACCCACTAACATTCAGTGTATTTATTGATACGTATGAATTGATTGCTTTCATTTTGCTGTGTGTTACTTTATAGTGCTGCTGGTTTCTTTGTTCCATATAACTTTCTGTCCTGAGTTCACTTTGTGTATGGGTTTTTTTTTTCATTTTCATTTCTGTGTGTTAATGTTCACTAAACCTTTCTGGTTTTCCTCTTTTTTATTTTGATGTGCATGTATATTAATTTTCTTTGAGGCACCCTGTAATTTATTAATTTTTCCCATGTAGAAAGTCTGTTTTGTCTTGAAATCTACTTGACTTACCATTTAGAAGCTCTGTACCTATATTATTCCCTCTTTTTGCTTTGTAGTTGATTTCATTATAAATCGATTTCCCTGGTTCCCTATTTTCAGTCTTACAGGTTTGTTTTACTTTTATTGTTGTTGTTGTTGTTGTTGTTGTTGTTAAATGTCGTCAAGTGGGTTTCTGACCCATAGCAACCTTGTATAGGGTTTTCAGTGAGCAGCTGGTGAGCTTGAACTGCTGACTTTGTGGTTCAAACCGATTTTACAGTCCTGCACATTAGCCCACAGGACCATATAACCCTGTATCTGGATTGAGTTCCAGGTGGTGTTCTCATGTATGGTAATCTCAGGTTGTTGTCTATTGTTGTTGCATCTCAGTCCAAAGAACACCCTTTAATATTTTTTTAAAAGTTGAACTGGTTATTACAAATTCCTTTAATTTCTGTTGGCCACCCTTAAAAATTTTCATGTTTGAGCCCATTGTTGCAGCCACTGCAATCCATCTTGTTAAGGGTCTTCCCTCTTTTTTTTGCTGACCTTCTCCAGGGACTGGTGCCTACTGATAACATGTCCAAAGTACAAGAGACGAAGTCTCACCGTAATCGCTTCTACGAACCTATTCGTCTGTACTGTTTTCAAAACAGATTTGCTAGTTCTTCTTTCAGTTCATGGTATAATCTATATTCTTCATCAACAACATAAATCAAATGCATCTATTCTTCTCTGGTCTTGTTTGTTGTACAACTTTCACATGCATGTGAAGCAATTGAAAATTCCATGGCTTGAGTCAGGCACACCTTAGTTCTCAAAGTGACATCTTTGGTCTTTAACACTTCCAAAAGGACTTTTGTAGTAGATTTGTCCAATGCAATATGCCATTTGATTCCTTGACTGTTACATCCATGAGTGTTGATTGTGGTTCCAAGTAAAATGAAATCTTCGACAGTTTCAGTATTTTGTTTGTTTACCATGATGTTGTTTATTGGTCCAGTTGTGAGAAGTTTTGTTTTCTTTACATTGACCTGTAATCATACTGAAGGCTGTAGTCTTTTATCTTCATCAGCAAGCACTTCAAGTTATGTTCCCTTTTTGCAGGCAAGGTTGTGTCATCTGCATATCATGGGTTGTTAATGAGTTGTCTTCCAGTCCTGATATCCCATTCTTCATATAGTCCAGCTTTGTAGATTATTTGCTCAGCATATGAACTGAATAAATATAGTGAAAGGATACAACCCTGGCTGGTGCACACCTTTCCTGATTTTAAACCATTCAGTATCCTCGTATTCTGTTCGAACCAATACTTCTTGGTATATGTACAGCTTCCTTATGAGTACAGTTAAGTATTCTGGAATACCTGTTTTTGCATGTTATTGATAATTTATTATGAACCACACGGCTAAATGCCTTTGCATAGTCATTAAAACATAAGTAAACATTTTTCTGGTATTCTCTGCTCTTAGCCAAGATCCAGCTAATGTCAGCAATGATATCTCTAGTTCCACGTCCTCTTCTGAATGCATTTTGAATGTCTGGCAGCTCCCTGACGATGTACTGTTGCAACCACTTTTGAATTGTCTTCAGAAAAATTTATCATGCTTCTGATATTAATGAAATTGTTCGATAATTTCTTTATTCTGTTGGGTCACCTTTCTGTTCCTTTGAGAGCAGTTTATGAGGCTCCAAGTCCAACTTCAGAGTGCCAGCTCTCGGGGAAGACTTATCTTTGTTGGCTCTAGGGAAAGGTCATTGTCTGTGAGCCCAGTATTCCTTAGAGATCTCCAGATGCCTTGGCATCAATCTTCCCCTGGATCTAGGAGTGTCACAGTGTAGGAACCTCCAGGTCCAAAGAACGCAGTCCAATCCTGGTTCTTCCGTATTGGTGTTAATAGATCCCTCATAGCCTCTTCTTTGAGTTTTTAATATTAATTTTTTCCCAAGTGCTTGCTTATTTCTGATGGTCTTTTTTCCCCTTATGTTTTCAATTCTCTTATTCCTTTAAACTTTAAAATAGTTATTTTTTCTCAGTGTTGGATAATATCAATATCTGAAGTCTTGAAAACCAAATCCTCTATTTGTTGATTCTATTCACCTATTCCTTAGTTGGTTGGTTAGTTGGTTGTGTGCCATAGAGTTGGTTCCAAATCACAGTAATCCTGTATAGGGTTTCCAAGGCTATGAATCTTTACAGGAGCAGAAAGCCTCATCTTTCTCCTACAAAACAGCTGGTAATTTCGAACTACTAACCTTGAGATTAGCAGCCCGACTTGTAATCACTACACTCCTTGACTTACTCCTGGTGGTTTCATTTAGGATATATCTTGTAAATTTCAATTTTGAGTTGCGGTCTATGTTGCTCAGGTCAGAACAGTCTTTGTTTCTGCCAAGTACCCCAGTGCACAACATTCCAGGACTAGTTTGGATTAACTGCTTGCCTTGCAGTATCCTGGTGTGGAGGTAGGGTTTTCGACTTCAACTTTACATGAAGGCAAGGCTGTCATTACAAATATTTAAAGGATGGAGACTTAATCTCTATATGGAGCTGAGATTGAACAGACAAGTTACTGTTTCTCCCTTTGCCATCAGGAAGTTTTTTTCTTAGCCTTCATCATTAAAAGTACAACCAATCCAGGTGATAAAGCTTTTAGCAGAGATCTTGGTTCTAAATCATTAGCTCACACAGGTCCAAAATCTTATCTCTCCTCTCTCAGAGAGCCAGTAGGAACAGTGTCATCATTTCCAGCATTATGCAAGGCCCTCAGAGTACAGGGCTTTCTTATGCTTACCATTCGGGGGTTTGGTTTTAAGTCCAATGCTTTTCCTACAACACCAAACCAGGACTCTTTATTTTTTGTACTTTGATATCTTGGGATCTTAGTTTTGCATTTAAAAGGATGTATGTTTTATTTTTTTCTAGCATTTACAGTTATTTTATAGTGGGAGATTATTTCTGAAAGTCTCCTAGTGTGTGAAAAAGTTTGCAGACCAGTACATCATACACAGTTTAAAATTACATAAAACAGCACATGTTTGCTACCCCTTATTCTTTTCTCTTAGAAGTTGCCATTATTATCTTATTTATCCTTCCAGAACTAGTCTGATAGTCTGCACATACACAAACATATGCATATATATGTACAGGTGTATGTATACACACACTTATGTATAAGGTATTTATACATATATTCATAGCTCTGAATCCTCGTTGCATTTTAGAACCATCTAAGTTATGCTTCTCAAAGTTCTGTGTGCATCTGAATTACCTTGGAATTTTGTTTAAAATAAAAATTCTGATTCATTTAGGTTAGGGTCTGTGATTCAGCACTTCTGACAAGCTCCCAAATTGATGTTACAGCTGCACTGTTCTGTTTTTTGTTTTTTTTGTTGTTTTTTTTTTTGTCTTGTTTTTTTACTTTTTATTGTGAATTGAATTTACAGACAGTTTCGTCAGTTTCACATTCAACAAATCATACACTTAATTCCATCTCAATAATTACACTCCCCTCCATGCAACAGCAGTTATCCAACATCCTCCCTGTGGTTCCTATTTCCATTCTACCTCCTTCCCATCCCTTCTCAACTTTGTCCTTGAGAAAATGTTCAAATGATTGACCATTCTGTGGTGGTTGTTGTTGTTATTGTTAAATTGCATCGAGTCGGTTCTGAACCATGGCAACCCTGTATAGGGTTTCCGAGGAGCAACTGGTGAGCTTGAACCGCCAACCTTGCAGTTCAAGCAGCTTAGCAGTCTGGCGCATTAACCCATAGTGCCACACCAGCACTCCATTCCAGGGTAAGCATACGTTATTAGTGTTGTCCCCACTACATACCTATCTAACTGCTTGTTGAAAATGGAACCATGAAGGTGAATTCCTTTCTAGACCAGAAGAGTGGTCGAGGGCCAAGTCTCAGGTTCCTCCACAGTCTCTTTCTGACCAGTAAATTGTCTTTTTTTTTTTTTTAATAATTCTGAGTTTTGTTCTACATTTTCTGCTACTCTATCTGGGACCTTCTAATGTGATCCCTTTCAGAGCAGTTGGTCTCAGAGTCATGGTGACTGATGTTCACTTGTTCCATGAATGTGTTGGACTAATTGATTCCAGGCATCTTCAGTTCTCATTACTCTTTATTCCACACACAGAGATACCAATAGTTGCACCTTAGATGGCTGCTCATGTGAAGCTGCAGATTTTTTTAACAATAATTTAAGAAGCTCTTTACCAAAAGGAACCCTGGTGGCACTGTGGTTGAAGTGCTGTGCAGCTAACCTAAAGGTCAGCGGTTGAAACTCACCACCTGCTCTGTGGGAGAAAGATGAGACAGTCGGCTTCCATAAAAGATTTGCAGCATTAGTAACCATATGGGGCAGTTCTAGTCGGTCCACTAGCATCTGTGAGTCATAGTGGACTCAAAGGCAGTGGGTACAACACCAGTGTCTGAGTCTACTTCCAAAAATGATGATTTAATTGGTCTGTGGCAGTACCCAGATGTAGATAAATAGTTTCAAATCACACCCGTAGCATGTGATTCTAATCTACAGTTGAGATTGAAAACTCCTGAGTTAGAAGATCTGCATTTCAAATAATTATCATTTTGGCAGCTGTTGCTTGACAAGCCGGGTAAGTGGGTGGGACAGTCTTAAAATCCATAGTGATTGTGGAAATAAATTGGCTAGAACTAGGTTCTTAAACATTTCTCCTTTCACTTCTCCCTCATTCTTTCCTGAAATTTTATAGAGGAATGATGAAAGTAAGTTACAGAAATGAATGCACTGTTATAACTGTGTTGTTTCTTTTTAAAGAAAGAACTTAAAGTTCTGTATTTTTCTGCAGGTGGAATGCGGTATCACCTATTATCGCCAGAGGATCGAGAAGAACTGGTAGAAGGAACAAGGCCTAGAAGAAAGAAACATGACTATCGCATAGCCCTATTTGGAGGCTCCCAACCACAGTCGTGTAGATATTTTAACCCAAAGGTAACTAGTTTTTTTTCTTGGTTTGGTGTTTTTCTGAAATCACTGTGCACATAGATACTTACCACCAGTGATAATAACTCAGACCTTTCGAGGTGTTCTGGTAGCATAGTGGTTACGAACCTCATAGTTGGGCTGCTAACCTCAAGGTCAGCAATTCAAACTACCAGACATTCCTCTGGAGAAAGATGACGGTTTCTGCTCCCATAAAGATTTATCACCTAGGAAAACCTATGCAGGGTCGCAATGAGTTGGACCGTCGCCATGGTGAATCAGCTCCATAGCACACCATGACCACCACTACCATTAGAGGTGTTATAATCTTTATCTTTCACATATGTTTTTGGTGGGTAAGGGGAGTGGATTACTGAGTGGGGATGAGGAGTTAGGGTTAGGACTATAGCTAGGTCTAGGCAGGGCCTAGGACTTCATTTTTGTTGTTATTGTTAAGTGCCATTGAGTCGATTCCTACTCATAGCAACCCTGTATAGGGTTTCTGAGGAGCAGCTGGTGGGTTTGAACTGCTGACCTTGTGGTTAGCTGTCCATTGCTGATCCTACGGCGCCACACCAGGAGTCCATGATTAGGACTAGGGTGATATTGTCATGTATGTTAGTCTCAGGTTGTTGTATGTTAATTCTCTGTCCAAAGAACTCCCTTTATTATTTTTTGTAAGGTTGGTCTGGTTTTTGCAAATACTTTTAATTTCTGTTTATCTGGAAATGTCCTAGTTTAGTCTTCATATTTGATGGACAGTTTTACTGGGTATATGATTCGTGGTTGACAGTTTTTTTCTTGTAGAGTTTTATATAGGTGTCATCCCATTGTCTTTTTGCCTGCATGGTTTCTGTAGGTTTAGTCTTATTAGTTCTCTGTTGCTAAGTATAACTTTTTTTTTTCTTTCTTTCAAGCTACTCTCAGATATTTTTCTTCATCCCTGATTTTGAAACGTTTGATTGTAATTTGTCTTGGTGATTTTCTTCTGGGATCTATCCTGTTTAGAGTTCCTTTAACTTCTGAATGGCTATCTTCTTGTTTTTCATGATGTTAGTAAAGTTTTATTTCAGCAACTCTTTTACAATTTCTCTGTGGTTTTATTTATTTCTTCCTATTCTGGAATTCCAATCACATGTAAGGTGTTCCTCTTGGTAGTGTCCCACATAAATCTTAGGCTTTCTTCAGATTTTTTTTTTCCCTTCAGATTTTTAAATTCTTTTTTCTAATTGTTCCTCTCTGAGTACTGAGAGCTTTGTCTTAAAGCTTACTGATTCAGTCTTCCATTGATTGAATTTTACTTTGCCCTCTCAATGTGCTACCTACTTCTGAAGTCTTAGGGCTGCTCTTTTGGCATTCTAATTGCTGTTTTGTATGGATTACAATTTTTTAATTTTCTCATTTGTTCTTATATTATTTTTCTAAGTTCTTCTTGTTTTCATCGATTTTCCTCTCAATTCTTGGAAGGCACCTAAGTAGCGTGCTTTTAAATTCCTTATCAAGTAGTTCTGATTCCATTGCTGATATTATATTCTGACTCTGTATTTTGGTCACTTGTTTGAGGCACCCTGTCTTGTTTCCTCATGTCAGCTGAAATTGTTTTTTTCTGAGACATTGTGTTGTCATTGTATTTACATTGAATGAATGAATGTATGTTAGTGCGTTCTCTGGCACTCACTACCTGTCTCCTGGTGGATGTGATAGAGGCTGGAAGGAAGTCTGAACATAGCTCTCAGTTTGCTGGTTATGTAGCAAAGTTCAGGGCCGCATCATGAGCCTCCTAAAGGATCCCAGGCGGAAGCTGTGCAGGAGGGGTGCCACTGGGGTACCACTGGCTGCTGTGGTTGGGATAAAAATGGGACTGGCCATGCCCTGGCTACCAGGAGGGCCGGAGAACCAGGGGAGGAATGCAACCCCTTTGGCTCCCACCTGCAACCTGTAAGCCAGTGTATCGGCAACCACTTAAAAATTCTCCAAGATGGCCGAGCTGCTGCAAGTCAGCTGATAGCCACCTGGTTTTTTCTCTCACTGTTCCTGTTCAGTTTTCTCTTCCAGTCATCACTCGGTCAGCCTCTCTGTCCTATTTTCTGAAGCTCAGGTTCCAGGACCACCATCTGGATCTATTTCACTTGTTCTCCCAGGTCTTTCTTGCAGAGTCTGTTCACTGTATCTGCCTACTACGTCATCTTGCCCTAACTCCTCTATAAAATCTTATAAGACACATAGATAGCATCTTCATTTTCCAGATAAGGAAATTGAGGCTTAGGAGTATTTTATGTTATTAGGTGCCATTGAGTCGGTTTTGACTCACAGTGACACTATATACAAGGAGACAAAACACTGTCTGGTGCTGCATCATCCTCACACCCTTTCTTATGTTACAGCCACTGTACCAGTCCATCTTGTTGAGGGTCCTCCTTTAACTCACTGACCAACTACTTTAATGAGCATGATGCCCTCCTCCAGGGATTGGTCCCTCCTGATAACATGTCCAAAGTATGAAAGACAATGTCTGAAAGTCTCACCAGGATTCCTTCTAAGGAGTGTTCTGGAGTGCTGAATGATAACCACTATTTTTAAAAAAAGGAAAACTAGCCCTCCTGTCTTAGCTCTTTTTTGGTTTAGCAACATCTGGCTTTCATTTGTGCCATTTTTATTGAAAATCTGCTTTGGAAGGTAGATATATATCTTCTCTCATTTGTGATTGTTTTAATGTGAAATAACATACTCATTATAGAAAATTAGGAAAACCTAGAAAAGCACAATAAAAAAAGATTAAATTTCCTTTAATTTATGGTAAGTATATTTTCTTTTTCAAATGAAAACTGAAACCATGTAGAATTGTAATTCTACAAATCACTAGCTTTCAGATGATAATAGTTAGACCTCATTTGCTTCCAAAAGCTAGCTGTAGTGTTGATTTTGGCAGTTAAAAAGCAAGTAAACCAAGTTTTGGGAGAAGCTATTTTATTTTTAAAGTAAATGACTGTTTGGGTATATGGAGTAATAGGAAAATCCTGATTGAATTCAGGAAATAGGGAACATTTATTCTAGAAGGAGGCAATGTGAATTGACTCTTTGCCTTCTGTGTTTGGTTTTAACCTGTAGTTCTAACACTTTCCATAATTTTTTTTAATCAAACAGTTGAAAAAAGATGCATATTCTACACGAGTCTGGAAGTGACAGTGTAACCAGAATTCTCATTTAATGTTTCCTTTGATCTTTACAATGACCTGTACTTGACTGCTGGTTTACACTTCAAGTAATTGAGGAATTGACTACTGATTTTTTTTTAAAAAAGGCTTAGTCCCTGAAGCCAACACTATTAAAGTTCCGTTATAATATTTATGAAATAGTTTTATTGAAAGTTCCAGCCCTCTCCCTTATTTTTCCTATAAAATTTTGTTTTGAGAAACTTTTGCCATTTTCTATGATTTGTATATAATTTATAATTAGCCCTAATTATTTCCAATATTAAAATAATTGGGGAGTCTGGTTTCATATAAGGTATTTAGCTTCCAACGTGAACATTATTTTGTAGTGTGGTTTAAGTTGACTGCTTATTTAGAAGTACTGTATAGGAATTATTTTTAAATTCTTGTACTTAAAATGTTAAAATGGTTTCTTTCACTAACATTAAATGGGACCCATCAGACATATCCTATACCAGCCAAAAATAGTGACAATTTTTATTAAATTGATCTCCTTCAGAGGGGATATTTTCACTAATATTATTTAATTGAATTATCCAGAAATAAGCCAGTATCCTTATAAGATATCTTTAGATATTCCTTGGATATTGCTGATGTCATAATAAAAATAAAAGTATTACTTGCTGGCTGAAAAATGATAGGAAAGAAAATCTTAGTCTTACTTTGAGTATTGTCAGAACAAGAAGTCTTGGGCTGCTATTTTGAATTTCAATGCTATTTGATTGTTGTTATGACCCTTTCATAGAGCCTACTGAGCCTCCCCTTCTTCCTCCCCACCACAACTGTTTTTAAAGTTTAAAGTACTTAGTGATTACTGAACAGTTATGTGTGTCCATTGCTGTATTTCTCTAAGTACTAGTGTTCTCAAGTTGTTGACTGGGAATGTCTTATGATACTGACGCCTAAATAAAAGTTGACTTAATTGATCAGTTTTTTCTCAGACGCCTCCTGTCCTATGAATGAAGAACCGAGGTCTTAGGGCTAAGATATGAAGGATTCTACACATTACCTGCCAAGAACAATAAGAAGGAGGACCAGCAGGGTGAGGGAAAAATCTGTAAAGAAGGCAGAAAACAAGATAATATTACGTTTCATGGAGCCATGAGCGTCAGGGGCTAACATGGATCATTTTATCAGCTGACTTAATAGGACTGGATCTAAATATTAAAAAAAAAAAAAAAAAGTTGCTGTCAAGTCAGGTCCTACTCATGGCAACCCTGTGTGTTTCAGATTCAGTCACTGGGTTTTCAGAACTACATCACCAAGCCTTTCTTCCAAGGTACCCGTGAGTGGGCTTGAACTTCCAACACTACATCTATAAGAGATCTCTAGTAAAACTATGACTGATTCTCCACTGGCTGCCATGAGCCATAATTATGAATTAACACATTAGCCCCCTAAAAAGACTCTGAGGGTGGAAACAGCAACAAGTTTTTGATGAAGTGGGAAAGGATGAGGAAAATAAGAAATGCTATGACTGTAGTGGCATTCTGTGGGACTCTAGCCATCTTGGCATTCTAGAAGTAGCCAGAAAGTAATAAGTACATTGAATTCAGGGTTAGAAGTGTAAGAGTCACCTGTGGGTAACTAACAGGAAAAGATAAATCATTGCTTTGCCATGTCACCTGAAAATTACTATTTGCTACCTTTGATGCATACTGATACTATGACCTAGAGGCAGTAAAATTTTCATTCCCGAAGTGTTAAGGTATGTCGACTATAGGCTTGATGTGGATTGTTTTCTTTGAAAATTGGTGATCCAGGTTTAAGAGAATTATTTTCAACTATTACAAATAA